TCAAATATATGTTCTAGTATGTTACTGTCAAGGTGCAATTTGTGATCTCTGTAAATATTCCAAGGAGCTACCTTAACATACGTCTTACCTCCTCCGAACAAACTAACTGTGCTTTACTCGTTTCTGCTTTAGTTTTACATTTGTACTTCCTGAGTATAAAGATACAATACTCCCACATGATGAAATAATGTACAATTTCCTGTTTGTGAAACTGGTGAGGTAGACTTCTCCTAATATTCACAACTGTGTGCTTATAGTAATACAGAGCTGGACTCTGTTTGGGAAAATCCGGATTTGATTGTTACTTCCCTTTTAACTTCAATAGGTAACAACTGGATTAATGGCTAGTGTCACCCTCTCCTTCTCAATGGGATTGATCTCTCAGAAAAAAACGATTGGGAACTAGGGGCTATATTTGCAATTTGGGGCTTTTGAAGAAAGTCTAAAATAAAAATTACTTAAAATCACAATGTAAGGGTTTTTTTTTAAATATAAGGGGTATCTTGTGCTGTGCAGCACAGGTGTGAATGTTTTTATCAGAAGGGAAAATATTTTGCTTTACGTCTGATTGTTGTGCTTGCTGTATGGTAACTGTGGAGAGTGTGGATTTGGGAGCTATATTTAAAGCAAGGCACCAGCTGCTGCCCTTTGCAGATACCTTACAGCACAAACATACACAAACTGAACCTTTGCTGCTATGCAAGGAAATGGAGCTTTTTGTAAAGTGGAAATCTTTGCAGAATTTCTCAGAAATCCTGTTGGCATATTAGGAGGCAGTTAAGGCTGGGGGGGTCGGGTTCAGGAGACTTTTGAAATGGTGGGCTGGGATAATAGTCCAATTCTTATATTCAGTGCACTTTGTGTTCCTGCATCTGAATGGTATCCTTCCTACTATTCAGTCTACTATTTCAAAGGTTGCAATTTGAAATGCAGCATTGTGAGAATATGACCTGGAGGCTATTCTTATTATACAAATCCTGATACAGAAGTACGGGTAGTCCTCGGTTTACAACAGTTCATTTAGTGACTGTTCCAAGTTACAACAGCACTAAAAAAAGTAACTTATTACCGTTTTTCACCCTTATGACTTCTGCAGCATCCCCTGGTCAGGTTTTCAAACTTCAAATGCTTGGCAACTGGCTCCTATTTATGACAGTTGCAGTGTCCTGGGGTCACGTGATCACCTTTTGTTCCCTGACAAGCAAAGACAACGGGGAAGACAGATTCAATTAACAACCATGTTACTAACTTAACTGCGATGATTCACTTACCAACAGTGACAAGAAAAGTCATAAAATGGGGCAAACTCAGTTAACAAATGTTTCACTTAGCAAGATAAATTTTGGGCTCAATTGTGATCATAAGTCTCCCTGACTTGTCCTCTTTCAGTTGGGCATATTTGATCTGGAAATAGTGAAGAGCTCTGAAGACTTCAAACCAAGTATACAGAGTTTTTTTTAAAAAAAAGAGGAGTTGGTGGTTTGTTTGTTGTTGTTTTTGCAAATCCTTCAGTTATAATTTTAGCTATTTATTTTAATAGCAACTTTAGCATGGCCTCACATCAGAAAACTATTAATTAATTCCTCCTTTATATTGAAAGTTGCAGTGCTGAACAATTTTAAATAACAGTAATAATATAGCTTTTTGTTTTCATTAATGTATGCATGCAACTTGCTGAACATGTGAGAAAGGATAGGATAAACACTGGATAGGATAAACATCCCAATAAATATTGTCCTTACTTTAAATCCTGGATAAAGGAAAGCACTTGACAGAAAAAAAAATTAGACTCTGCAACTACCATATACGTTTCTAGCCTAGCATTTTCAGTGTGATAGCCAGAAAATTTGAGAGAAGTAGTCAGAACACATAATGGAAAACTCTTTTAGAAGATGCTATTTCATATTTTGAGAGTTCTTAGTGCAAATCCATTGGAGTTCCATTCAGTGTAAAGAATATGTGTTTGAGTTCCATGATGAAAAGGACTAAGAGTTGAAACTATTTTCCCAATATACTAGGGAATAAATAGCGGGCTTCATTTTTTCGTGTATAAAATTAATTTTGAGGCTGAATAACAAAATCTGTGTTTTGTGTCTGTTAGAGGTTTGGAAAATTTCAGTCAGAATAGATCACTCTTTGAGGCTGCAAATTATTGGTCCATTCCAGTAAGTCAACAGAAATCAGACACAATTAAAAATGCAATGCATGTAAAGCCAAAAGAGTAAATATAAATCTATAATAAATGACCAATAACTATATTCAATCATCCTGGAAAAGGTCTGTGTATGTGGTTACCAAAGGTCAGCACTGACTTGATGGCACATAATCAAAGTGTATTAAATAATATAAAATAGTAGTGAAACATAATTCTTCAAAATTCACAAAAAGACATTTTAAAGTTATAAATATAGCACACATATTAAAATGTATAAAGACAAATTCCAGATTATTTGCCAGTGGGAAAAATTTCAGTTATGCATTGTGATCCATTTCTCATCTTCTTCAGCAATCTGAGCAATAATTTGTAAAAAAAAAAAAAAACCTCAAATCTTCAATTAATCCTACTTTGCAATATATATTGAACATCACAGATTGCTTAAAAAGTAACACCATTACAGTAATACAAATCACTCTGTCCATGATTTCTTTTTCTCAGATCTATGTTTTGGAGGAATGATCACCTGATGCCGTCAGCATGAACATTACAAAAAACAAGTTTGCAGGCAGATGCAGTTGTATATTTTACTCTCAGATACAAAAAATAATGCAGGCAGCTGCATTTAAAACTGCACTTGCATACCAGCCTGTACAACTGGGGAAGATGTTTAGAAACAGGATTTGTAGGATTCAGATTCAGCGATCAACTGCTTCCAACAAACTCCTTAATTTAAGAAAATGTATGGAAACTTCATAAACAGTTAACAATACAGGTAGTCTTCAATTTATGACCACAATTGGGATGAGAATTTCTGTTGCTAAGCAAGGTGGTTGTTATTTTACAATTTTTTTGCCACAGTTGTTAAATGTTAAATGAATGAGTCGTTAAATGAATCATTGTAACTGTTATGTGAATTATGCAATTGTTAAGCAAATCCAATTATGTTAAGTGATTTTCAGAAGTGGTTTCAGTGGTGTGCCACTGTCTCCTTCCTAGGGCTGACAGAAAGTGACTTCCCAAGGTCACCCAGCTGGCTTTGCACTTAAGGTAGGACTAGAATTCAGGTTCTTCTCATTTCTAGCCTGGTGTCTATACCAAACTGACTCTCTGTAACTACAGGTAGTCCTCGACCTAAAACCGCAATTGGGACCAGAACTTCTGTTACTAGGCAAGTGAGTTGCACCCAGTTTTATAATCTTTTTTTTTTTGCTATAGCTGTTAAGCAAATCACGGCAGTTGCTAAATGAATCATGCAGTCATTAAGTTAATTCACTGACTTTGTTTGTTGGAAGCTGGCTAAGAAGGTCACAGATAGTGATCACACAACCCCAGGATGCTGCAACAATCATAAATACACGCTGATTGTCAAGCGCCAGAATTTTGATCATGTGACTGTGGGAATGCTATGATTCCCCTAAGTGCAAGGACTGGATGTAAGTCACCTTTTTCAGTGCCATTGTAACTTCAAACTGTCGCTTCAAACTGGTTGTCAGTCAAGAACTGTATCCAATAGCAATTTCTCTGAAGAAATAGCAATTTTATTATACTGTAATTGTTTCACTATTAAAAAGCTGGGTGGGATGGAGAAATGGATCATTTGTAAAATTTGCATAGTAGCAGCTTCTTTTGTTTGTCCTTTTTGTTAACAAGAATAGTTTTACCTGTAGTGCAACAGGACGGATACTTTAAATTCTTTCATGATGTCCAATGACAGATCATTTTTGACAGTCTTGCAGTTTTACCATTAGAAACCTAGATAACTGCCTTGAGAAAATGGAGCTTCATTCCTACAATCCTATGACTAATTACAGATTCGTAGTTCCCTCATATTAAAAATACTGGTGTTGCATTGAGAAGAATTGAATTTATCTCTCCGTAGCTTGGAGATAAGATTGTTGTACTTTGTATAATCACTGTATAAATATGTGTGTTTATCTGTGTTGTGGTGATCACAAAAAAACCAAAACTGACTACCTTCAGAAGGGTAATAAATAACGCATGGTATTTTGTAATCCAGCTTTCTTCATTCTGTGGCCAGAATTGAAGATTAAGGCCTGCAAAAGCAACCTGAGAGTAGGATAAAGCAGAACTGAGATTTTCCTATGTCTATTTCTTGAAATACTGAATCTCTCTGTGATTCCTAAATAACATGTTCCCACTCGGGAAGGAGGAGGGAATGTGTAGATTACTTGAAATGCCAGAATGTACCTAGTATCTGTGGTCCAGATGTTTTCAAGGATCTGAGCTTTTCTGCTGCTTCACTATTGATGATTGCTAAAAGGTTAAGAAAAAAAACCTTTCCAACAATAAAAACACTGGAACAGAGGGACTATTTCTCAGAGAGATGCTGGGCAGCCTTTGACTGGATGAAAAACTCGGTCGGGAAAGTGGATAGTCATCTGTCTGGAATGCTTTAATTAGAATTCCTATACAATGCTGAGCAGGGGATTGGAATCAGGGACCTCCTTGGCCCCTTCCAAATCTATGATTCAGTGATTCATCTAAATAACAGTTGCATTAGTGCAGTGTGTGTGTGTGTGTGTGTGTGTGTTACGTCCCACAGCTTATTGCACATTTTTGTAGATGTATTTCTGGCCCAAACTGGGAAGCAGCCAGACCTTGCTGCTCAATATCTGTCTATTCCCTCACCCCCAGATTTCTCATTGTCTTTCCTCACCCCCACAACCTTGTGCCCTGTGATCTGTTCAAACATGTCGTTGATATTGAAGAACTGCACTCCTAAAAAGTGCTGTTACACAATAGCATCCCGACTCAAATTTCATCTTTAGCTAACAATTATTTTTCCCCTCCTTTCTCCATCCCCTTTTCCCCATCTTTGCAGCTCAGCTGTAGAAAAATATGGGAGACGACAGGCCGTTTGTGTGCAGTGCTCCCGGCTGTGGACAGGTGAGTTTACAGTATACTCTGCTGTTAGTATATCATTATGAATCAAAGTGGCTGTTTTATCACCAAGGCAAAGAGTTTAAAGCCAACGTCTTATGTGATCACTGGAGGTAATCAGATTGGAAGATTTGCAGTGTGTAAATCCAAGTTATGAGCAAGTGCAAGAGCCCTGAGGTAATGAAATTTGCCTGGCATGCCTGGCATTTTGCTGGTATTTTCTCTCTACTTCTGTCACATCCAGAAGTAATCACTAAATATAGAGGGAGGAAACTTTATACCTGATATCTAGATAATATACTCCGATAGCATAGTATGATTTAATAACATTTCTTGGTTTGTTATTTCCCCCCAAACATGTATTTATTTCTCAGGAAAAGCTTAGAATGTCTTTAAACCTATTTTCAAATGTGCATGGTATTGCATATGGTTCCTCAGCAACGCTTACTAAAATTTCTTTTTATAATAACATATATATTATTAAAAAACACAAGGACAAAAACAGAATAAAAAAAATAAAAGCACCTAGCCATATCATCTGTACAAAGATACATTTTGGCATAATCCTTTAAATATTAGCCTATTTAGTTTTAAAAACAGTACCTTAATAGTTTAAGAAAATAAGTTGACATTTGCTCCTGGATGAACGCATTTATTTTCAAATGGAGGAACAAATAAATAAGCCTTGTTTACATTCAGGGTGTATGATTGAAGGTCTGTACTAGCCATGGAAATAATCTTTGCCATTAAATGGCTTCAGATGGACAAGTAGTACACTGAGATTCAACACTGCAGTATATACAGGTAGACCTTGACTTACAACAGTTCATTTAGTGACTGTTCAAAGTTACAACGCCATTGGAAAAAGTGACAGGACCATTTTTCACACTTACCACCATTGCAACATTCCCATAGTCACATGATCAAAATTTGGATACTTGGCAGCTAGTTCATATTTATGATGGGTTGCAGTGTCCTGGGGTCATGTGATCACCTTTTGTGACCTTCTGACAAGTAAAGTCAATGGGGAAGCCAGAGTCACTTAACAACCATGGTACTAACTTAACCATTGTTGTGACTGATTTGTTGTGATTCTTTGATAACTGTGGCCAGAAAGGTTATAAAATGGGGCAAAATTCATGTAACAAATGTTTCACTTAGCTACAGAAATGTTGGGCTCAATTGCTGTCACAACTCAAGGACTACCTGTATATAAAAATTATAAGTTATGACCACAATTCGGACTGGATTTCCATCATAAGTCGTTCTGGTCATAGCTCAAGCCATACCTGATTTTATAACAATTTTTGTGGTGGTTGTTAATCAAATCACCATGGTCCTTAAGTGAATCCAGGTTACGCTGTGGCTTTTTTTTGCTAGAACTCAGCAGAAGTTGCAAATTATTACCACATGAGGCTGCTGATTCTGCTGCCAGTCATAGATGCGAGCCATTTGCCAAGAGCCAAATTGTGATCATGTGACCGCAGGGCTGGTGCAGGGATTGTAATGCAAGTACAGGTCATAAATAACTTTTTCCAAAGTCGTAACTTTGAACTGTCATTAAACAAACAGACATAAGTCGAGGGCTGCCTCTAAGTCCAAAGGAATTGTCCATATGAGTGCTTAGCTGAAGTGCTTAATGCTTAACTTGAAAAGATGCTCGTACATGAGTGTATCAGGTTTTGTAATGAGATTCATAATTCACTTATTATGTATACTTGTAAAAGTGAAATGACAAAGCAACTCTAAGCTATTATCTGCACATATCCATTGAAATAATGGATATGTGATGCTTACTCCTGAATTAACATCAATCAATCTGGACAGCTTGCATGGTGGAACAGCTGACGTTATGCTATATTTGTAAGGCTCTGAAGTTCCTTGTGGAATGCAAACAGATACTTTTCATATAGGTGGTCAGAGGAAGGTAAAGACCTCTATAGAGGATCAAAACAATTGCAACAAAATTAAAGAGATCTTGATGACCTGTTTGTCCAAATTTGAAACAATTTCTTGCTTAAAATTGTCTGGTGAACTTTTTATTAGGATCCATTTTTCTGTGCTGGTGATAAAGAAGGTATTAGAGCAGTACACTTTAAGCTTTTTCGTAGATTGGTTATTTTGTAATCCACATTAACTATATGTTATCATTTCTGGATTAGTTACCATTTTCAGTCTTTCAAAGCCATCTTATATGATCAGCTGCAGATGTTGATATTTGAACTGAATAATTTTAATTACGTGTCTGAAGTTTGTTTCTTTTCACTTCACACTCCTGTTTTGTATGTGTATGTATGTATGTATATATATATATATCTATTTGTTTTCTTAAGTTTTCACGGGTATTTATATGTATGGTATTCAGCTTTGTTCGGGTATTTTCGCACATCATTATAGTTGTGCTTTTAAAGTTGTAGCAACGTTTCGGCAGAATCTCATCTGCCATTATCAGGCTTCTGTATTGTGTTCGTCTGTGAGTTCGGCTGTGAAAGTCTGACTCTTAGACGAACACAATACAGAAGCCTGATAATGGCAGATGAGATTCTGCTGAAACGTCGCTACAACCTTAAAAGCACAACTATAATGATGTGGGAAAATACCCGAACAAAGCTGAATGCCGTATATATGTATGTATGTATGTATGTATGTATGTATGTATGTATATGTATGTTATGACTTATAATATTAATATGAATGACTGAAGACAAAGATTGGCCAGAGAACAGGGACTTCAGGAACAAAGTAAAGAAAATGGGATAGCGAGTTGATAACTGTTGCTAAATGACTTACTTTTAAATGTGAATTAGGTGGTTGTATAGTTGTTATTTTTCTTTCCTGGCTCAGTTATGGAAGTAACTAGCAGCCAGTGTTGATCACAAGAGGCAAAAAAATGCAATTAAAAATCAATACTAAGATATTCCAAATACTAGTAAACCTGGCTCATGTAAAATGTTACAGGCATAAATTTTTTTAGCAACACATCGTATGAAATTATCTAGAACATTGGAAGGGACCTAATCTAATCTCTTACTTGATACATTAATTCACAGTTATGGCAAACCAAATAGATAGTTGGTCAGAACCTTTTTAAAGGCCTCCATAGTACCATACAATGAGTCTGTTTTGCGGTTATTATAGTCAGGACTCTTCCATCACCCCAAAGGATAATAAACCTAGTGTGACATAAACTTGTGTAGATATAGACCCCTAGAGATGCTAATTCCATAATAATGTTAATAAGAAGTCTTTAAGGAGGAGATGGGCGATCTTTTTAATTTATTAACGGCTGCATTTCCTTGGGGGTAATTGAAATTGTGGAGATTGCATTTAAGCAATATTGAAGCAAGTGGTGTATTTCTTTTGGACATTTTCTCCCACCCTCCCAAGCAGCAGACTTCAGGGAAAGCGATAGTATGTCTGAACTTAAGTCTGAACTGAGCTCTTAGAGATAGCTTTTGAATAAAAGTCCTGTATATCCTTTCCCTTCTTTCAATATATTATGTGCCAATAATATGCTATGTTTGCCTTGATACTTAGAGTCATGATGCTTTCCTGTAAGATCCTGTTAACAAATAATTAGGTTGCTGTTATCTAGCAGATGTATTTCCAGTGTATCCTTTCACATATCATGGATTTATCATGGATTGGAGATGAATAACTATAAGTTTGTATAAGTCTGTGCATGTCAAGGACATAAAATTATTGAAATGACAGGAAGATAATGACCAGTATGACTACCACATCTCCCTTAGTATTTGCAAATGTGTTTTTCCCTTTGAAATATTATGATTTTCAAATACACTACTCAAAAAAATAAAGGGAACACTTAAACAACACAATGTAACTCCAAGTCAGTCACACTTCTGTGAAATCAAACTGTCCATGTAGGTAGCAACACTGATTGACAATTTCACATGCTGTTGTGCAAATGGAATAGACAACAGGTGGAAAGCACAGGCAGTTAGCAAGACATCCCCAATAAAGGAGTGGTTCTGCAGGTGGTGACCACAGACCACTTCTCAGTTCCTATGCTTTCTGGCTGATGGTTTGGTCACTTTTGAATGCTGGCAGTGCTTTCACTCTAGTGGTAGCATGAGATGGAGTCTACAACCCACACAAGTGGTTGAGGTAGTGCAGCTCATGCAGGATGGCACATCAATGCGAGCTGTGGCAAGAAGGTTTGCTGTGTCTGTCAGCGTAGTGTCCAGAGCATGGAGGCGCTACCAGGAGACAGCCCAGTACATCAGGAAACGCGGAGGAGGCCATAGGAGGGCAACAACCCAGCATCAGGACCGCTACCTCCGCCTTTGTGGAAGGAGGGACAGGAGGAGCACTGCCAGAGCCCTGCAAAATGACTCCAGCGGGCCACAAATGTGCATGTGGCTGCTCAAATGGTCAGAAACAGACTCCATGAAGGTGGTATGAAGGCCCGACGTCCACAGATGGGGGTTGTGCTTACAGCCCAACACCGTGCAGGACATTTGGCATTTGCCAGAGAACACCAAGATTGGCAAATTCACCACTGGTGCCCTGTGCTCTTCACAGATGAAAGCAGGTTCACACTGAGCACATGTGACAGACGTGATAGGGTCTGGAGACGCCGTGGAGAATGTTCGGCTGCCTGCAACATTCTCCAGCATGACCGGTTTGGCAGTGGGTCAGTAATGGTGTGGGATGGCATTTCTTTAGGGGGTCGCACAGCCCTCCATGTGCTCGCCAGAGGTAGCCTGACTGCCATTAGGTACTGAGATGAGATCCTCAGACCCCTTGTGAGACCATATGCTGGTGCGGTTGGCCCTGGGTTCCTCCTAATGCACGACAATGCTAGACCTCATGTGGCTGGAGTGCATCAGCCGTTCCTACAAGACAAAGGCATTGATGCTATGGACTGGCCTGCCCGTTTCCCAGACCTGAATCCAGTTGAGCACATCTGGGACATCATGTCTCGCTCCATCCACCCAAGCCACGTTGCACCATAGACTATCCAGGAGTTGGGGGATGCTTTA